TACCCTCTGACCAGCAAAGCGAACAGTCGCGGCTCGCCGCGTGTGTCACCGTAAGGGCCAACCTACTGCCGGCCCATTGACCCCCGCCCCCCCCCCCCCCCACCAATCTGTGTTGCTTCGAGCAACCGGCTTCCAGGCGCTTTTGCTCCTGCAGTGCCTGCCAGAATGTGACAGAACTCACTTTCAAGTGTAGACCCGAAGCCTACAACCCTTTTTCAATCTGAACCTCTATACGTCTGCTGCGCGGCCCGGGTTTTACTATAGGACTCTGCTCCTCCCCCCTAAGCCTTCAGCTCCCTCTTGTGCCGCTGGAGGATCTTTCCTCCGAGCAGAGTGCTGTTCCTAGCACCCCGAGAAGGACCTCGCCACACCCTCTTTCATGGCTGGGGGGGAACCCGAGAACATCTCACTCTTCATACATGTGGCAGAATGTTTGAATGGATGTGTGTGATTCAGACGTGTCTTGTGCAGCGACACGGCACAACCCAGCAGCCGGAGTCCTCTGCCTGGCCGAGCCTCCTCCTCCGAATCGCTCGAGGTGCTCATGGCCCAGGCCAAGGCAGCTTGTGGCTCTTTAAGACTACTCGGGGTGGCTCAGGTAGGGCTGTAGTGGTCACCTTGTGCCGGTTGGGGGGGTTGGCCTCGATCACAGCATCAAGGGGGCTCCTGCGCAACGCGACGTGTACATGCAATTGCCATATACATGTATATGCAGGTGCTGACTCTGCCGCCGAGCTACTGCTGCTGCCTGGTGGTTTTGGGAGGTCTGGGGACGTATTCATGTTGCTGAATGCCTGCACATGTTTATTGATTGATTGATTGATTGATTGATTGCCTGCACATGTTTATTGGTACTATCTACATTCGTGCCATGGTGGTGCCCCCCACTTACATGTGACTCACCCAACCTCACCCCGAGGGTTTGTCTGTGTCGCTCAGTGTCACTGCTTCGGGACTCTCTGGGGAAGTTCATAATCACAAAACCCCTGAACCCCACACGACCTAAACCTCCATCGCATCAAACTCCAAGTCCAGGCTGCAACCAGCACAATCTTTTCCGGGGGGTTCAGGGATTGAAGTTGGAGAACCAGCTTAGGATCAGGAGCCTTTAGAGTTGCTGCAAGGGTTACCCGGCTGCTTTATGGAGACCCTTCCTTCTAGTCGGAGGGGGTCAAGGTATGATGTTCAGATGTGCCCAAGCTCAGTAGTTCAAGTGGGAGCCTTCAAGACGGCCCACAAACATTGCCTCAACTTGAAACCATATTGTCACATACGAGAAAAAACACCAACCCTAACCAGCCCAGCTCGAAAAAGGGTCCGGTGACACCTCCCTTTTCTTGCGGCACAAACGGGAAAGCTTCGGAGTTTGTGCCGTTTTGAGGCCATTCTGCACAAGCAGCGGGAAGCCTGCGTCTTCCCATCTGCAAAGGCAGCACCCCCACGCGCGCGGCAAAGAAACATGCAATGGAAAGAACGCCTAGTGGGTATCTTCACACTTATCCAGGACTTGTTCATGTTCAATGGCGGCGAGGCACAGCGATGCGTGGCCTTTAGATCTCTAGTTTGGGAGGTTTGCTGTTAGGCTTGCCGAAAACGGCAGGCCAGGTGAAGGTGATTCATGGGCCGTGCCTTGCGCAATTCAGCGTGGGTCTGCTTTTTTTCGGACATTTGGAGATTGCAACGAATCAGGACAGGGACGCCTGTTCATACAGAGTCCCACAAATCTGAGAAATTGTGCGGGGGCGCAAGAACACACAGTTGACATCTGACAACACGCCTCGATGAGTTCCTGAAGATGAGTCTACGATCAGTCTACGAGTAGCATCCTTCAATGCGGCATTCGGCAAACTTTGGTGAGAACTTGCCCGCCAGAGCAGGGCCAGGCAGCGTTGGCCCTTCAAACCGATCACATGAGGCTGCAGGGCCAGTGCCTTGACTCAGCAATTAACCAGGCAGAGAGCACATGAGTTCCCTAAAGATCTTGTGCAAACCATGCAGGCATACAGTGGGCCACAATTCAGAGCCCATAGAGCCCCGTACTCACCCTCCCTCCATCACCTACCAACCCCCCAACTCCCCTCCCCCCTCCCCCCCCCTTTTCGGGGGCACTTTCACCCAAGAGTCGGCTGCCCCTGCTTGTTGGCACCCTCTGGCGGCAGATTCCAGCCCGGCAGTACGTCGGCGCGCCCCTGCCAGTTCAAGCAGCTTGAGTTCTTCAGTACTTCATGGCTACTCATGGCTCTACTTCCCCATGATCCCCCCCCCCAAGATGCCTCCGAAGAGGCAGCTTCCGCTGCGGAGGGGAACTCGACATCGGAGGCTTGGCTGCTTTGGCAATCGTCTGGTACCAGCCCCGTCCTCCTGAGAGCACAGGTGGAGAAGCGGGAGTCAACCTACGCCAGTACAGCACCAAGCAGCCGGATTCTTACCGAGGGTCGCTTCGATGCGATCCGGAGCCGCATCTGACGCAGAGAGGCCTGACCAGCTGCTTCAGCTGCACACAGCTGTCTTCCAAACTGGAACAACTACAGAAAAAAAAGAAGGACGAACACATCGAAAAACCAATGAAAACAGATCCAAAATCTCCCAATGCTGTGGCTGGGAATCTGCCCAACTCCGTCGGGTTCGGGGACTCGCCGAGCTCGGCTCCAGCAGCCGCCTGTTGGGCAGTTTTTTTTAGGAAAACGTGGGGAACTTTCTGGAAGAGGGCCCCCACATTCAGCGAGCCCCCTGCGCGCCAACGAGCAGCACGGGCCGGATATCGACCCCTTTCGCAAGGTCACTTGCCGGCTGCGAGACCCTTCCTGCGAGACCCTTCCCTGCCTGGCCCTCTGCGTTCTGCAGTTCATGTGTTCTTCGTTTGATTCACCGTTGCCATGACATTCGTTGATTAGATTCTAGTGCCTATTCCCGGTCAGGTTTTCGGGCAACGTCGGGCTCCTTCCGGCAGATCAGACGTCACGCCAGGTGCTCGTACAAACAAGGTGGCCAGGGGGGCTAGTGGCCTAGTGAACCTTTCTTATTGCACCCCAGGCTTTCCTTTATAAGGAGAGGAAAAAAACGGAACACCAAACAGGCACTGATCGCCGCCAAGGCTACATCAGAGCCCTCCGTAGCATCCGAGGCAGCCCCAGCTGAGGTGTCAGTGCTGACGACCTGTTCCTGAGATAGTCGTGATTCTGAACATATTTGAAACTGGCCGATCACATGAATGCTTGGCTGCTCCGAGGTGACCCGGCAAGTGGCAGGGGGCTCCTCAGTGAAGCTGGAGATGAAGCACCTGTCGACTGAACCCATCTGCCGTGAGAGAGAGAGAGAGAGAGAGAGAGAGAGGGAGAGAGAGAGAGAGAGAGAGAGAGAGAGAGAGCAGAGAGAGGGAGTGAGGGAGAGGGAGAGGGAGAGGGAGAGGGAGGGAGCGAGAGAGAGGGAGAGAGGGAGAGAGAGCTGTTTCCCAAAACTCAAAAGCCCTCCATTGATCTGCCTGGCGCCAGGCTCGAACTCTGGCGCCGACGGGTTGAAACTCGACCTTGGGGATGGCTTTGCTTACACATACTCATACACCTACACCTATACACATGTATACACATTTTTATCATATTTTCATCATGTATGTAAGTTCTTGTACAATGAGATCTCTGCTTTCATGCATTGTGCATTGTGGCCCTTTCCCGCGCAAGCCCCCAAAAATTGCCATGTGGCCTCGGCGGGTTGCTTGGGGCTGGCTGGCTTGGAGCTGGTGGATGCTGCGGCAGCTCAGAAGGCTCGGAGGTCTCGCCCTCCTGAGCTCAGGAAGTAGAGCTACGTTACAGCTGAGGCTGCGTCAACAACCGCGTCAACAACCGGGAACCATCCAGAAACCTCTGTGTAGGGGCCATTTGATGGGCTGAAGCGGATTAAAGCGGATTGAACCGTTTCGGCGGACACAAGCTTTGCCGCGAGGTTTGCCGAAGCACCCATAGGGAACGGAGGATGTCCGCGCCGAGGGATTGGCCGACCTGTGGCGACCAGCAGTCTGAGGATTTTGCCTTCGCCTCTCACATCTTACCCCCTCTCCCCCCCCGCTTATTGCAGCTGCGTAATGTCTCGGACCTAACTGGGCAAGACTGTAGGAGGGGCAACGCAGCGATGCAACCTTCAACTCTTCAAGAAGTCTCACTTCAGTTCTATGGCATCTGGCTTTGCTTAGGCACACCAGGCTAAGAGGCCGACACGCATCTTGCGTCGAAACAGACGAGCCGTGACCAACCCAAACAGTGAAAGCCTGCAATAAGATCACCAACCTCTTGAGCTGCGAAGCCCGCTGCCAACTCTCCCCCAAGCACTGGCCCCATACTCAGCCAGATCTACTCTCTACTACTCCACGCTGTTGAGCTGCCACACACGCTGCCTTGAGATTCGGTACCGCCAAAAACAACGCTGGGCCCGACCAACGAGTGATCCCACCCATCCATACGATCATTGTATCATTGTAGACTTCTCAGCCAAGGTATCACTTCGAGACGTTGTGTCTTGGGATAGCGAGATGACTTGCATGTAACTTTGCAGCAACATGTAACAAATATCCATATATACATATACATATATACATATATCTCTCTCTGTGCTGCAAACACACTAAACACACAAGACAGGCCCCACGGCGGCCCACTCTCTCTCTCTCTATATACATACGCCTGCATATGTACTACATTTACATGCGTAATACATATTCATATGCATGTACATATATATATATATATATATATCTGATTTTTTCCCTCCCGCCCTGCCGGAGCTGCGAGAGAGAGGGAGATATATATATATGGTCACCCCCCCCCAATGGACCCACCGCGGGCCTTGATCTTTGCAAAAGTACCGCAAATACCGATAAAACCTATGCTGTCTGGTGATTTTCCGGTGACCGGATTTTTGACTGTATTCCTTAATTCACCCTCTCACACACGCACGGAGGGTTTTTCTTTCTGTTGGCTTTTGTTTATAATTTAAGATCTAGGCATTTA